GCTGCTCTGCCTCTGTATCTATTTTTGTTCAAAAGTTTATTATGGTCTTTATTATACATAAATGGGTGAGATCATGTGGTATTTTTCCTTCATTGACTGGCTTATTTCACTTAGCATAATGCTCTCCAGTTCCATCCATGCTGTTGCAAATGGTAAGAGTTCCTTCTTTTTTACAGCAGCATAGTATTCCATCATGTAGATGTACCACAGTTTTCTAATCCATTCATCTACTGATGGGCACTTAGGCTGTTTCCAGATCTTAGCTATGGTGAATTGTGCTGCTATGAACATAGGGGTGCACATATCCTTTCTGATTGGTGTTTCTGGTTTCTTGGGATATATTCCTAGAAGTGGGATCACAGGGTCAAATGGGAGTTCCATTTTTAGTTTTTTGAGGAAACTCCATACTGTCTTCCAGAGTGGCTGCACCAGTCTGTATTCCCACCAGCAGTTGGTGCAGTGATCTTTGAATAAGGGATACAGAAACATTAAACTCTGGTGTCTGCTTTGTCATCAACTGGTTGTGTGATCTTAGGTAAATCACTTGACCTTTCTGGACTTTGTTTTTCTCTATAGTTCTTTCTAGTTCTATCTTTATAAATATTCTAGAGGCCCGGTGCACAAAATTCGTACACTCAGGGGGAGGTGTTACTCAGCCCGGATTGCGAGAGGGTGCAGGCCAGGCTGAGGGACCCCACCAGTGCACGATTGGGGCTTGGAGGGACATGGGAGGGTGGCCAGCCAGGGAGGGACCGAGGGAGGGCTCCAGGGTGTGTCTGGCCCATCTTGCTCAGTCCTGATTGGCCGGACCCCAGCAGCAAGCTAACCTACCTGTCGGAGCATCTGCCCCTGGTGGTCAGTGCACGTCATAGTGACTGGTCAACCGGTCAACTTTCTGCCCTTTGGTGGTCAGTGCACATCATAGCAAGCGGTTGAGCAGCCTCAACATATTATTAGCATATTATGCTTTGATTGGTTGAATGGTCAATAGAACACTTAGCATATTAGGCTTTTATTATATAGGATAATGGACCCTTAGAATAATATTCTAACCTCACAATTTGTGATCTAGAGAGAGGGAAATCAGAATTTAAATGGTAGCATAGCAAATAAAATGTTAAGAAAATTTGGAAATATATTCTGTGTTGCCTACTCTTTCTATTTACCCAGTATAGGCTCAACTTGGCAATTTTATTGCTCGGAATATTAGCTTATGCCCCTAGTCTATCAAGTGTGATTAAGAATAAAGTATGACCTCACTTGGAAGGATATGTCACCCCTCTATTTTAGATGCATGTTTTAACACTTCTGAGTGGGAGAACACATTTTTATTTTAAGGTTTATTTTTATAATAAATGACCCAACTTTAGTGTTTTGAAGTTGGTAGCGTTTTCACATAGGTGTTTCCTTTCTACTGATACAAGAAACGAGTTCACTTAACTTGAAATCTGCAATGCTTATTGATTATGAGAAAGAATAGAAAATTAACGACTTTGGGAATCCATGTCACAGTCAAATTGAGCAGAGAATGTGCTCCTTGCGGGGGGGGGGGGGCGGTGCTCAGGATTATGAACTGCTATTAGTTTTTCATTTCTACCACTGAGCATATCTAATAACGCTCTTTTCAGAAGTAACTGAACTTGCAGAAATAGCTCATGAAGTCATTTTCTATTTAAATGGTCTGCACTTTTTAGAATAAATACTCTTTAACTGGGACGATATTAATATATGTCTTTGACAGCAACTGCATTGCGAAGACAGCCTTTGCAAAACACTTTTGTCACCCATCCAAGCATGGCTCTTTTATGACAGATTGTTGTGTATCTGAAGGAGCTATTGTGTCAACAATGAGCATCATAATGAGTCTAAAAATCTGACTCAATGGAACAAATGTATTTTAATGGCATGCATTTTACTTTAAAAGGATGTACCAAAATAGAGCGAGAGTTTGAAAGCTGGGCATTATTTTATAATGAAAGACTAATATGTGGGTAGTTCTAGCTAAAGTAAGAGTATAACTGGGAATGAAAATTGACTTAGGGTAGATAAAGTAATCCCATCAGCAAACCACAAATGCTATAGGGGAGTTGTCTGCACAGGTACAGGAGGGAAATTAAAAGGGGTACAGACACCCAGGAGTGGCCTTTACTGAAGTTCACCCCAGTGAGAAGGATTAAATGGGACATAATGCTCCCTTCCTTTTGCACTCAAAACACCTAACAGCTTGTTCTGAACTTGCAAGATCACAATTACTAAAATGCCACACGAGCCATCCTGGAATAACCTGTTTCTTTCAATGTTTAAATTCTACATGTTAAGTGTGCTGTAACATTAAGGGGAAAAGAGCTAAGTTTGGAGACCGAGAGAAATTTTCTAACATTTTTGGGATAGTGTGTAAGGGATTTATTTTTAGAACCAGGACCAAACATGCATCTAAAAGGTGATGTTACATAACAAGAATTATCATTGGTATCAACATCATTATATTTCTGGGATTGATTTTTAAGGACCGTATATTATTTGTATTTATGGTAAGAAAATTGGCATTTTATGGGAGTATAGTGTGACAAGCATGTTAAACTCGCGGCTGGTGGGCCGCAGGCCTCGTTTAAATACACTGTAGGACATTTCTGCATTTGTATTTTTCAAGTTCTTTGGATCCCTTGCCAAAGTACTGGATGCCGTGTTTGTTTGTGTTTATATACCAAAAAAATGAAGCATGTGATGTCAACCTGGGGACTGTGTTTTTTATTGCTGTCTGTGATGATACACATGACTTTTTTTGTGTTAATTCTGCTGGCTATTCCATCAAAGGGAAGGCATTTTGGCAGACAGAACCTTTTTGGCAAGATAGAATAGGTGAAACCATAAGAAGAATGGTAGTACTGGGTTGTCACTCAAGACATTTTATTTTCTGGGCAGGGTTTCCTGTTGACCCTGAGTCACCATTTATGTCCCTTACCATCTCCTCTTTCTCACTTAGATTGCTACAGGGTTGTTTGGGGTCTCTTTTGAAAATGCTCACCTTATAAATGCATGGTGTGGCTCTTTTCTCCTTCCTTCAGATGTCTCCTTTTAGCTACTGGTAGCTTTGCATAAGGCAGGGATGACTTTAACATTTTTTTTCCCATCACCATTTATCTCCCCTATACTCTCTTCCACCCCTCACCCCTCACCCCCCACCCCCCACCCTACACCCCCACCCCGCAATCACCGCACAGGGATGCCTTTTTAAAAATGTGATTTGCAACTTCCAGGGGTGAAAGTCTGGGAATTGATAAATAACTACAAGAATTAGAATAAGCACTACTAACTGAGTGCAGCCCTGGTGGATAGTAGACTTAACGTGCGCAGTGGTCTCCTGATGAAGGCGCCTTACCCTGAAGTGCAACCCCGGTGCCCTTTGACAGGAAGCATCTGCATGGTTTACAGACTTAATACTGAATAGGAGCTGAAGGGTGTTCACATGAAACTAAATGCATATTTCTCAATATTCTTGGTTAAGGGGGATAGGATCCATCTCTAAGAAAGTAATATGGAGCAGCGGCTTTGGTACAGTGTCTTAGAGCGCTGTTGTATGCTGTCACCCCAACTATGCTATAAACTATTTAAGAGAATGCACCCTGTCCATTATCTGTGAAACAGTGCCTTCCATTGAAGCACAGATGGCTGTGGTCGAATGAATTAGGCAGATACTCAGATGCTTGTTGAATGAGGGGAGGGGAAATGAAAAGACCATCCCTTCTCCATCCCAAGTTCCTGAACTCTTTCCCCCACTGAAAAGAACCCTGGAATATATAGATAATACAAAGAAGACATTCTTGTCAATTGGCACAGGAGAAAGAAGGGCAGAGGTCAAAGAGAAAACAGGGAAAGTGAAGCTTTGGGGCTAAAGAGGTGTCGCCAGGCTGGTAAGGTGGATGGGAGGGGGTTGTGCCTCCATCAGCGTGGGGGCTGCCCTAGGAGGTCATGTCTAATTCCATGCAAAACCCCAGAAGTGAGCTTCTCCTTACAGAATTGCAGACTGTGTTTCAGTGAACAGAAGGGAGCCTTTTGTTCTTTGGCAAACTACACATTCCGGAGTCAGATGTGGAGAGGTCAGATTTGTGAAGGATGGCGGGCCCATTTAGGGAAAGGGCATCTTTGTGGAAAGCTGAATGGGTCAAGGGTGAAAGGTGAAGCAAGGCAGATGCCGTTTTGTGGATTGCAGCGTCCCATTATCTAAAGCATCACTGGTGTGTAGTCAGAGCTGAAGGCCCTGTTGTGGAGTGCATGCCTGCTGACAGGGTTGGGGCAGGATTTGCTGTCTGTTTCACTAAAAGAGTATTACGCGTTTCCCTCATTCTATCTGGAGTGGCTCCCTCCAGAAACAGTGACAATTCTCTTTCCAGAGTGAACTAACTACCAGAAAAGAGTCTGCTATTGAGAAAGTACTGAAGTCAGTTTCCAAAGGTGGCATTTTCCTTTGGCTCTTTTGATTGAGTTTCCGAGTGCCCTTTGAAGCTGCTGGTAAGGGGGATTCTCGCAGGGTGACCGCAAGCCTGGCACTGCCCCTGTCTAGTTTAGACAAAGATAGAAAAGGGCTTCTGGCTGTAGTCACTCCCTCTGAGGCTGAAACTACTCATTGGCACCAGAATGCCTTTCTGTGTTTTAAAGTACTTTGGCCTGTAATTTTGCACACTGACTCTGCCTGTGTTGACATTGGCCTCAGTTAACGCAATCTCTTTCTCCAGTGCATTGCACATCCACACATGTGTAGCCCGGGATGGTGGCAGAGGAAACCTCTCCAGCCTGGAGACATCATAGAGAGAGGCAGTGCCCCTTCAAGAAGACAACCGGAAACACCTGCTACAGCAGCTCCTTAGGAATCCGCAGGCTCACCTTTTCAGTTGTTCAGCCTGAAACAGAGATTGGCTCAGCATCAGAGATCTGAGCGCCTTAAGGGAAAATCGGAGACAGGGCCTTTGGGGAACGTTTATTCACAGTGCAGCAAACATCGACTGAATCTCAGTTATGTGTTAGGCACTCTCCTGGGCTTGGGAGCAGCGGGTATGCGTAAGGCAGCCACCCGCCCCTTAGGGTGCTCACAAAATTAACTTAATCTTCTCCAGGGGAAGTAAGCTTATGATAAGACATTCCATTTATGAGTTACTCCTTTTTTTTGCCAGTTTCTGGGCAAGGTACTTCTTTCACTCACTGCTTAGCACAACCCTGTGAGAAAGATGTGGAAACTCCACATTTGAGGTTTAGATAACCTGTCCAAGGGCCACAGCTAGATTCAAGGTTAGCCCAGGTCACTTTGACTCTAACAAATGCTCTTTGGTCCAAAGCAAGTCGCCATCTGCTACTGCACATCCTACACTCCTACAAGATGCTGATAAAATTGGTCATGCCGTGCTCTAAGTGAGGGCAAGAGCTGAAATAGCAGAATTTTAGAGTTCTCTAAAACAATACGGTTCCTACCACTGTTTCCTACTTCTTCCTTGAATGACTGGATACACACTTGCCTGGGCCACGATTGTGTCTTCACATAGGGCTTGCTTGGGGGGGAAAAACCTTTGTTTTCTTGAATCCCTGGTCAACCATCAAGTCAGTTTTCAAATGCATTAGCCTGTTGTCAAGAAAAGGTAATTTATTTTACTCTGGGAAGAAAACCTTGGAACTTAAATCTAAATATTTAAAAAATTCTTTTAAAAAAAGGATGAGATAATTTTCAGTAATCATCCTTCCTAAAGGTATTGTTTTTCTTTTAAGAATTCAGAGTCTGATATTATCTCAATTTACTGCATTGCTGTAATACAATGTGGAACTAGCTATCCGCTTGATAAGTTGCATGTTTTGACAAAGTAATAAAATGGCAAGAATCACTAGCAGAAAACACTTACCAAGAGAGTATTTCCTCCTCCTACTATTCTACAGGCATCTCTCAAGTTTTCTTCCCTACTCTTTGGGTGTAAAGTCAAAGAACAGAGAGGTGCTTTGTTTTTAATTTAGTAATACTTGAGGGCCTTCTTTTTGAGGGCATGGCATGCCACGTTCAATATTAGACTCATTATGGCATGCCACTTCTAATATTACCCCTTTAAAAACACACTGTTTTATTTAAGCATTTACAAAATTGTGTCTCCATTGTCCACTTTGATGGTTTCATTGGGAATAAAAGGGAACCTGCCTTGCTCACAATCGTAAGACACAGTTGAGTGTTTGTATGCGTTATTGCCGAACAGAATGGATCCAGCACATACGCTTTTAGTAGTGATGTACTCTAGCATGTGGAATTCCCCTATGATTGAAAGGATGTGGAGTATTCTTTTGAGAGCTGCCTCACATATTGAATGTACAGCTCGTTTTGTCTGGGGACTGCTCCTCAGAACTCTGCCATCTGTAGTGGGTGGCAACCAAATCTCAGTCTTGAAGAATTCATCTGTTAATTTCTTTCTTTCTCTGACTTGATGACACCATTGTGGTTACTTCTCCTCCCTCTCCAATCAATAACATCTCATTTTCCATTATTACATCTTAAGTATATTGCAGTGGTTGCAAGCTGTTACATTTTTATTTTAGAATGTGATGGCTGGAAAAATCTATGTGGAAAAAGTGTAGTAAGAGTTCAAGTTCTCCACACAGGGTGGTCTTTTAGATGAATTAGTGTCGATGGAAGAGCATTCCACCTGCCTATGTTGCTCAGTGTTAGCTCACCCAGACCCTGGAGCTTTGGGGATGAATGAAGTCACCTGCCCGCATGGGCGGCTGAAGCTCCGAGTCCTGGATCCTGACTCCACTCTTCACTACTATTGCTTCTTTTAATCTTTACATTTGAAAGAATATCAGAGGTTTTAGAGGTTTTAGAGTATTTTTATTTGGATATCAGGAAAGATATTTTTATTGACCATCAATAAAAATCACCCGGAATTTTCTATGCCCTTCTTTACTTATATATACAATGACTGAACTTGAGCTTACATATTGGTCTTCAGCAAATGGAAGAAATCTCTTGGAGGGTAGTTTTCTGTAAGTCTGTGTGTGTTCTTAATGCTTTCATTGATCTCCAGTGGATACCACTTTTTGGGGGGAGATGTATATTCTTACCTTTTACCAATGCATTTCAGATTTAGAAAGAAAATAATTTAAAAAGTTGTGTGAGAACCTTTCTTGGGAAGGAATGGAAATATTTA